AGTCGATACTGAATTCTCAGTATCGGAAACTACGTAAAAATCGTTGTGTCAACTCTATCTACTCCATTTACTGTCTATCCTATAATCAGTCTCTGTTTTGCAGCCAAAGTCTTTTTTGCAGGAACACAGGTCGGCGAGCTGTTGTAGGAGACAGACAAACAGAGTCAAATGCAGCCGTTTCAAAGAGAACTGTATTAGCGTTTTACGAACAGGCTTATTTGACAACGACTCTAGGCTTTAAGCCCAACAACAATCACCTTCTCCTTACTTCATTTCAATTCAGATCAATCCAGATATTCATTGGCTCAACCGATCCAGATATTTGGAACATCGTGCTAGATGGTCCTCTTGAAATGAAGGAGGCTAGAGGAAAATTGATCGACGAGGATAAGAAGAACTTCCAACTGAACTCAAAGGCCACAAATATGATGTATTGCGCATTAGGGCCAGAAGAATATAATCGTGTTTCTGGATGCAAGACCGCGATAGAAATCTGGGACAAACTCTAGATTTCTCACGAAGGTACCTCTCATGTCAAGATTTCTAGAATCAATGTTCTTAAGTAAGAATTCGAAGCCTTTGTGATGAAACCAGATGAGACTATCAAGAAAATGCATGATAGATTTACAACCATAGTTAATAGTCTGAGAAATCTGGAAATTGAATACACAAGTGCTGATTTAGTCATGAAGGTGCTCTGGGCTTTGCCAAAAAGGTGGACGCCCAAAGTTACAGCAATAGAGGAATCAAAGGACTTAACCAGGTTAAGTCTAGATGAACTGATGGGGTCATTAGTCACACATGAAGATAAGCTGAGACGAGAAGAAAATGAGGAACCAAGAAAAGAAAAACGAGGTATTGCATTCAGAGTTTCAGAACAAGAAGAAGAGTTTGATAATCTGGATGATATGGAGGATGATGAGTTGGCCATGCTAAGTAAGCATGTGGCTAAACTGATGAGATTGCGGAAGGAAAGAAGAAGAAATTTCAACAGCCGTGCTAAGGAGGCTGATTCAGACAAGGATCAGTTCAGGCAATCTAGGCAAAACTCAAGGTTTAGAAAGGAATCATTTGAATGCTCCTCCAGCAGGATGTTTTAAATGTGGAAGGAGTGGACATATTAAAGTAGACTGTCCACAAATAAAGCGAGAAAAGGCATGTGTAGCCACCTGGAGCTGCAGCGAAGATGAAGATGAGGATGGAGACTCTGGAAAAAGGCAAGAAGCTTTCATGGCAATTGGAGATAGTGACGATGAATGCCACTCGTCTCAGGTAAGAACACTAAGCTATTGCTCTGATTCTGGTAGTGAAAATGATCTAATAAATGAAACTATAAAGGATATACAATTGGAGGTCAAGAATGTAAAAGTTAAGTATTCAAAACTTAAGCTAGAATTCGATAAATTAATTGGGTTGTATGCTAATCTAAAGGAAGAAAAGTTAAGTCTAGACAAGCAACTGAATGAAATTTTGAAAATAAACAATGAACTAGAAAGCAAGCTAACAAAATATGGAAAAGGGCATGAAAGTTCAAACAGGAAAGGTATTCATATTGGTAGATCATTTGATAAAGGTCACTGTCACGATTTAGGAAATGTAGAATGTTTCTACTGTCATTTGAAAGGACATTACATTGCTCATTGTAAAAAGAGAATAGCTAAAGAAGCTAGGCTGAGATCAACAGTGTGTTATGTCTGCCATGAAATTGGTCATATGAGCTATGGGTACAAAAATCTAAGGTTAAAAGTTGATAGTCCTCGGTTGGTGTGGTTACCTAAAACAAAATAAAACATTTGTGTGGTTAGGTCTGCTTCCAAATGAGCATGGAAGACAACGAATGGATTCTAGATAGTGGTTGCTCACATCATATGACTGGTAATGAAAAACTCTTCACAAAATTTATTAAAGAAAAGAAAGGTAAAGTTTATTTTGGTGATAACTTTAGTACTGACGTTCTTGGTAAAGGGGAAGTTGGAACTGCACCTAAAATAAATAATGTAATGTTAGTTAATGGGCTAAAACATAATATGTTTTCAATCAGTCAAGTTTGTGGAGAATCGAATAGAGTGGTATTTGAACCAACTGTGTGTTATGTTGAAAACATTGAAAGTGGAAAGATTCTGTTTTCTGGTAAAAGGAAAGGAAAATTGTTTTGCATAAGCTTAGGTGATAGGAGTCTGTTTAATGAAATGTGTCTAGTAACAGTTAATAAAAATGATCAGTTATAATGGCATAGGAGACTTGGACACGTGAATGTTGGTACTTTATCAAAACTTGTCAGCCTAAACTTAGTAATTGGTATCCCTAAGGTAAATTTCAAAAAGGAGTTTTTTTGTGAAGCATGTGCAAAAGGAAAACAAGTCAGATCTTCTTTTAAAAGTAAACAAGTTATTTCTACATCAAAACCTTTGGAATTGTTGCATTTAGACTTATTTGGACCAACAATGTTATGAGTTTAGGAGGAAAATCATATGTGTTTGTCATAGTAGATGACTTCTCCATATTTACATGGGCATTGTTCCTGGGAAGTAAAAATGAAGCATATAAAAACTTTAAAAATCATATCAGGTGACTTGAGAATGAGAAGGAAACTAAAGTAATCAACATCAGAAGTGATCATGGTGGTGAATTCATATCAGAAAAATTCGATAGATTCTGTGAAAAGACTGGTATAGCTCACAACTTTTCTGCTCCTAGAACACCTCAACAAAATGGGGTTGTAGAAAGGAAGAATAGAACCTTGATAGAGATTGCTAGAACAATGTTGAATGAGTATAGTCTTACTAAACATTTCTGGGCAGAGGCTGTTAATACTGCATGCTATACTATAAATCGTGCCTTAATCTGGTCCAAACTTAATAAGACACCCTATGAATTATGGAAAAATAGGAAGCCCAATCTGGGGTATTTCCACCCTTTTGAATGTAAATGCTTTGTGCTTAATACTAAAGACAATCTAGGAAAGTTTGATTCCATATCGTATGACTCAATCTTTTTGGGGTACTCATCACATAGTAGGGCATACAGAATGTATAATAAACGGACTCTCAAAGTTGTAGAGTCCATACATGTGGTATTTGATGAATCTTCAAGTGAGTGTGCATATACAATTGATGAGGATGATGATCTAGGACTTGGACATCACTCTAGAGTTCATTAAAAGACAACACTAGAGAAGGATAAATCAACCGAGGTTATGCAAAGCTCTAACAAGGAAACAGAGCTTGAAGAACGCCTTGTGCAAGCACCTCCACACATTCAGAAGAGGCATCCTCCTTCGCAGGTCATTGGCGACATGAATCAAGGTATGACTACTAGGTCTCAAAAGACTAATGTACATACTGCTTTTGTTTCAATGATTGAGCCTAGAAACATTCAGGAAGCCTTAGATGATGAGTTTTGGATAGCATCAATGCAAGATGAACTAGGATGTTTCGAATGTTTAAATGTGTGGGATCTGGTACCTAAAACTATAAACAAACCTATATTTGGAACAAAATGGGTCTGGAGAAATAAAACTGATGATTTGGGAGATATATCTAAAAATAAATCTACGTTGGTAGCTCAAGGATATAGTCAAGAAGAAGGTATAGATTTTGATGAATCATTTGCTCCTGTGGCAAGATTAGAAGCCATTAGACTACTTTGTGCCTTTGCTACTTCTAAGGGTTTTAAACTGTTTCAAATGGATGTTAAAAGTGCCTTTTTGAATGGCGAAATCAAGTAAGAAGTATATGTAGCTCAACCACCAGGATTTGAAAATCACAAATATCCAAATCATGTATATAAATTAAATAAGGCTTTATATGGTTTAAAACAAGCTCCTCGAGCTTGGTATGAAAAGTTAAGTAACTTTCTGATTAGTGATGGTTTTCATAGAGGATCAGTAGATAAAACCTTATTCATAAAATCTGTCAAAAGTAACACAATTTTGGTTCAAGTGTACGTTGATGATATAATCGTTGGGTCCTCTAGTGTAGATTTACGTACTGAATTCGAGACATCTATGAAAGGGGCGTTTGAGATGAGTCTTATGGGAGAATTAAAACATTTTCTAGGGCTCAAAGTTAAACAAAACAAAAATGGCACTTTCATTAGTCAAACAAAATATCTCTCAAACATGCTTAACATATTTGATTTGAACAATCTTAAGTTTGCACAAACTCCAATGGGCTCTACAACAAAACTTACAAAAGATGAAAATGGAGTTTCAGTAGATGATAGGTTGTTTCGAGGCATGATTGGTTCATTATTGTATCTTACTGCAAGTAGGCCAGATATTGTCTATAGTGTAGGTGTCTGTGCTCGCTTTCAAAGCAGTCCTAAAATGAGTCACCTAACTGCACTAAAAAGAATATTTCGTTATCTGTGGCACGCAGTCTCTAGGACTGTGGTATTCTAGGGAATCCAATCTAGAACTTCTCAGCTATAGTGACTCTGACTATGTCGGGTGTGTTCTTGATCGAAAGAGCACCTCTGGTACATGTCACTTCCTTGGAACCTCTCTAATTTCTTGGGCTATTAAAAAGCAGAGTTATGTTGCTTTATCAACTACTGAAGCAGAATACATCACGGTTGGACTTAGCTGTACTCAACTTTTATGGTTAAAATATCAACTCCAGGACTATGGTCTTGAAATAGGGTCACATTCCATTCTTTGTGATAACACTAGTGCAGTAAATATGACCAAAAACCACATCCAGCATTATCGTACCAAACATATTGAGGTCCGATACCATTTTATTAGAGATCTAGTTCTAGATGGAAAGATTCAACTTGAATTTATAAGCACAGACATGCAATGGGCGGATATTTTTACTAAGCCTCTTGGAGCGGAAAAGTTTCTGTCTATACGCAATGAACTTGGCTTATTTCTTCTTGATGCAATCACCCCATCTTGAAAATCTGATTCTCTGAATCTGAATATTCACTTACCATCTCTTGGGATTCTTTCCCATGACGGTTATACACTTTCCCTATCTCTATTACTCTCTCTTCTATAAGATCACTAGGGTTCTCTAGAGTCTTCACCCATTCAGCTCAACTCAAACTTCTCTTAAAAACTGTACAACATGGCTCCGATCAATGCTCAATTGTGTCATCCTGTTGTGTTCAACAACAAAGGGTTTTGCAATGTTGGTGTCTACTCGAGATATCTTCGACGATTTTGCGATCGTCCCATCTATCCTTCACTTCCCATACATCCCTCTGCTTTCTCGAAGTATGACATGAATATTCCTGCTCTTCTTCACGACCTCGGGTGGCAATCGCTGGTGGAAAATATGCGGTTCAGTTACTGTCCATATGATGTTCGTTTATTCTATATAAACATTCAGCGTGGCCCTGGTACTGATCCTGCCTTTTTCACAACAATTGTGTTTAACTGCGAGATCAAGGTTACTCCAGAGCTGTTGGCCACATCTCTTGATCTCCCTCATACTAGTCTTTGTGTTGGCACTGACAGTGAATTCGGGGCATTGGGGTTTGACTTTATGGTTTCCCTTGAGTCCCTCACCTGTGACCTATGTCAATTTTTCCCTTATCGTTTTGCTGCTGGTCGGCTACCTGATGATCTCAAGGTTCTTCACTTCTTCCTTACCAGAAGTTTTCTACCTCGTGATCTATCTACCATAGATCTTCTTCATTCCTCAGATCTATGGGTCTTGTCTCATGCTCGAGCTGGCACTCCCATTAGTTATGCTTCTCTTATGTTTCATCACATGCTCAGGTATGGGATGAAATATTTTGGAGGTCCTCTGCCTTTTGGCCCCAAAATCACCAGACTCCTCTCCTTCTTACGCATTGATATGCGTGATAAACTTCATCAATGCAATGTCCAAGACGATTTGCACCCTCAGCATGTGCTTGCGAAGTTAGATGCCCTTGTTGGGCCCTGTAAGCCTCTCACTGGCTCAGGGGGAGTCAAAGCTGGTCCTGCAACTGGTTCTGCATCTTATTCATCTAGGAGACTAGTTGGTGCACATGTTGATGCCGCCGTTACTGTAATCAAGCGCGAGTCATCAAGTGAAGTGTCCCAAGTTTGTCACCTTGAAAAAACTTAGGCAGGAGGATCTGATGTGTCCCAAGTTTGTCTATGAGTCTGGATCAATTAATGATCCTCTTAGCTCTTATTTAGAATAAGAATCCAGTGAGGCTAGTGATGAAGATTGTGTTTCTGAATATGAGCCTCCACCAGAGTATCCTTTCTAGGGAGGTATAATGTAGGGGGGGCATCTTATGTTCTTTTCGAATTTATCAGTGAATGTTTAATAAGGATTCTGTAGGGGTTTCTAATTGTAGTATGGAAATTTTCTAATGAAAAAAGAAGTTAAGGATTTTCTGAAAATCTGTGTGCATTATTTATTACAAATTAGTGGAACAGATTGCACCAATCGTTTGTTGAATGTGTGCAGGAAGTTACAGTTTAAAGGGACGAGCCAGTGATAAGCTTAGGGGGAGTTTGTTGGGTGAAGCTACGTCTACTGGCATCGTAAAATTAAGGAAAGAAAGAATGGAAATCGCCGAGATGGAATTAAAAGAGGAAAGCTCTGATGAATCGAGTGATTGAAGGAAATCAAGCAGGGAGATTGATTCTCCAAATTTGTGTGAAACGGGTGGGAATAGCTAGACTATAAAAGAAGAGAACTGTGGGTAGTATAGCATCCTTTTTGAGCAGTTTTTCAAAAGCAGAAACGAGAGTACAGACTGTGTTTTGGAAAAGAAAAGGAGGTGAAGCTGTCAGGGAGATAGCTTGAGCGATTAGAGATTTGAATTCAGGCATGGAGCTGAATTTGGATCAGGAACTCTAATCTAGTAACGAGGAGTTACTACGAGATTAATTGTAAACTGTAATCCGAATCCTACCATCATAGTGTAACGTCAAAGGAATCAAATCAAAGTACCTTTGACCGTGGAGTAGTCGATACTGAATTCTCAGTATTAGAAACCACGTAAAAATCGCTGTGTCAACTCTGTCTACTCCATTTACTGTCTATCTTATAACAAGTCTCTTTTTTGCAGCCAAATTTTGTTTTGCAGGAACACAGGTCGGCCAGCTGTTGTAGAAGACAGACAAATAGAGTCAAACGCAGTTGTTTCAATGAGAACTGTATTAGCGTTTTACGAACAGACTTATTTGACAAAGACTCTAGTCTTTAATCCCAACAACAATCACCTTCTCCTTACTTCATTTCAATTCAGATCAATTCAAGTTATTCTGTTCGTTTTCTTTCACATTCATTCATCTTTAACAAACTACGAACAGGTTAGGGTTCTTGGAGGAGAACTCAGAATCCGCCGCATCCTCGCGCTCGTCTGCACCAACAGTGTTTGTGTGTTTGATGCCTAATCCAGTGTCTATATTTTGATTTGAGGGCTTCAAGCATGTGTCCGTTGAAATTTCATGGTCAGTATGCTTGGATTTGACAGTCTTAATGGTATTCGTGCAACCTAGGGAGGTAGTTGTAGCACAATGGAGGATGCTGAAGTAAAAGATATGGCCTATCTTTCTCTTTGCTATGTCGGTTGATTGTGTTAACTAGTGGCTTTAGGACATTTGATTCATGTGGTATCAATGACTCATCTTGTCTTATGTTATGGACTCATGCATTGTAAAGGGTGCTCAGCTGTGCGTAATTGGAAGCAGTTGTTCCTCCATGTTTGAAATTGTAACATTTGAAACATGGGTAATCCCAACGTGTGTGGCACCATTCATTGCACAAAATTGGGTTTTGGAAGAGATTTTAGTGATACTTGGTGGGGTAGGCCTACAAGGTGAAGCTACGCCGTCTCTAGTACAAGTAAAATTTTCACCCGTAGAACAGTTTGCCAACTCGACGATGTGTTTTTAAGGGCACGAGTAGAGCTTCTGACACCCCTTAATTTCATTGAGCCTCCACATGAGTTGAGGAAAAGGAGATAAAAGAAGTAATCTGGCAAGCGACGGATGTACAAAAATTGCACTTGCTCAACCAGTAAGGGTCGACCGCAGATATATGGCACAGTAGCTTCAGTAATCAGGGCTTGAACTTATGCATCTCTAACATAAGTGTTCTCCAACTTATTAGGGCCTATTTATAAATATTTTACCCCTTATTTCCTTCATTGTTTGACGTGGTAAATGATGTTTCTTGACCTAATTTATGCTAGGTTGTGCTCCTTTTGATATATTTCTGGTCCTAGCACGTGTGGGAAGGTCGAGGATGAGTTCCAGGACGAGTGGGGTCTAAAAGCACCAATGTATGAAGAAAGAGCCAATTTAACGAGCAAGAAGAATTTGTCACGGTCTTCCAGTCCAAGAAGATTGACCCGCGATCGTGAAAATTGATAGAAACAGAAGTCAGAAAGGGTCGCACGTCTCGCAAACAGGAGGAGTTGTCACAGTATCCCAAACGGAAGTAGACAACTACGAATTTGTCTGAGATCACGACCCAGCGTGCGATGTCACGACCATGACATCTGGACCATGAAGTTGGCGCTCAGGCAGAATAAATAGAAGGCAGCTGAAAGAGGGAAAGGAGAAGTTGGCAGGTTTGAAATTTTTGGGTTCCATTCTAGGGTTCAAGGTTGTCAATCTTGGGTTGACAAACCTAGTAGGGTTCAAGCCAAAATCCCAAAGGGGGACTTCTAGAGTGAGAGGGGGATCTAGAAGGTCCTAGGAGTTTGCTTTGTATTGTAATCTCTCTCCTCTCTATGAACTAAACCCTCTTCTCTTAGGTTGAACCCTAGGTTATAGCTTTTGGATTTGTGTTGGTGTATGTGACAGATTCCATGTTTTGATTGATGAATTTATCTAAGTGTTGGATGGATTTCATGAATTGCTTGCGTTTGGATTCCCTCATGTCTATTGAGCTTTTGACCTAGGAGGGAGATAGTCCACTCACCGTCCTATAATGTCTGGTTAATCCTCGAGGTAGTGGATTGGCTCGATCTCCTACGATATAGGTTTTCCATACGTTGAATAGTGAATCACCCATCAATCGCTTCCTGTTTCGAGTCCGTCCCGAGGTAGTCAACCTCCTAACGGGCTAGGATGGTACTCAACATTGATGAAATGAAGGAATTAGTGGGGATTCAAAGCTAAAAGAGCCTCATCCTTGTAATTAGATAGGTTAGTGGTAAGCTATGTTAGCTAGTTTAGTCTTCTTAATTACTATCCTAGGTTGGCTAGATAACGAACCCTAAAATTGAAGTAAGTTAAGCTTAAATCCCCGTGGTATGATAAATTTTATTACTTTCTTACACTATGCTATACCCAGTCTTCGGTTATACTTAGTCTTCGATTGGGAATGTTGTAGACGAAACTAATCAAGTTTTCAGCTTTGTTGGCGGGGAATGACATTCTAGGTTATCAGTAAAAGGCTTAGGTCGTTACTTTGTTTGTTTTGTGTTTTGTACTGTGTTTGTTGACCCACTCTTTGCTTTGAAGGGTGGTTTTGTTTGATTTTTTTTCTTCTGTCTTTTTCATTGTAGGTTGAATCATGGATCCCAATGGCTTCTACAATATATGGGGATATCCACAACCACCCGAACGGGGGTAGATGGAGCTTCATGGAACAATCAAGAGGGTAAAAGACAAGCAACCAGGTTGTGTCATCAACCTCCCTTCCAAGAAGAACAACCATACCAATGGTGATATCATGAAACTTCCCCCGGGCCCATATCAAGAAAATTTCGCTCCACGAACCAATGAGAAGTCCAAGTTGGAGTTTGCCGTGGAGGCATTTGTGGAAAATTCCTCACAACCATGTGCTAATCCACAATCGGAGCCCAAGAGCGAATTGGAGCTCATGGTGGAGCAATTTTCCCGAGGCACTGACGAAGAATGCTCCAATGCGAATCTTCCAATCGCCGACCCTACATACTCATCCTTTCTTCGGAGCTTGATAACACCTAATTTGGTGTTATTTAACCCTCATATCCGGGTTTGTTTCTGCCAATTTATGCACATAATTGCTTGAACATCGTCAATTACATTACTATTTCGTTCCTATATAAATTCGATGTGAATCTAGGGTGTATTAGACGATATATGCAAATTAGGTACAAAACAGGATACAAGTGTAGCGAATGGGCGAAGCTAAAGATCGCGGCCTCGAGAATGAAGATCACGGCCGGGAACACAGCCCGTGAACTCAAGATGAAGATCGCGGCCGCGAATTGTAGGGCCCAGGGCACGAATTTTGCAAGGAAGGATCCAGGGAGAAGTAGAGACTTTCCCCAATTGAATCACGACCAAAAAATATTTGACCGCGAGGAAGATCACGGTCACCACTTGTGGATCGAGATCGCGAAGTCATCCCGAGATCTCCTCATACCTAAAAGCCATGACGATGACGTTTCAAGATTGTGGTCTCTCTTCCAAAGATCACGACCCCGATCTCAGTGCTACTAACCGCGAACTTCTCCGTCCCCAGAATGCTATAAGTAGAAGACTCCTTTCCCCTTTTAGATGAGTTGATTTTGAGAGAAATTTATGGTTTTAGAGAGAGAGAAGAGAGAGAAGCTGAAAAAGGAGAAGAAGCTAGAAGAGACGGAGCATCTTCCTCAACCCAAGTCTTCTTAAAATTCTTTTATCTTTCTTCTTCACTCCTTTATGGAGTAGTCCTCTAAGGAACTAGGGGTTCTAAACCCTAAACCCTAGTTTTATGGTTTATTATGTATGTATGAATATTTTAGGGTTTGAATGAATGAATGTGTTTATCTAGTTGATTCTATTGCTATTCTATCATTGATTGTTTTTGGGGTTGGGCGCCCTAATCTTCTCTATTAGCCTACTTTATGCTACTATGTTGGGTATGGAGTTCTAGGGTTAGACGGGTATGCGCTATCAAAAACATCGTGGTAGGGTAAACTTGGCTTAGGATGGGGTAGTTGTTGAAACTTGCTAACCATTGACAATAATCTACACGGATTAAATTGATCAAGTTTTTTGGCGCCGTTGCCGGGGACCCTTGGTAACTAGTAGAAAACCGTCGAGTTGTTAGTTAGTATTTACCTTATTTTTTTGTTTGTTTAGTGTTTCGTTTTGTTTGTTTTGTGTGTGTTTTTTATATTTAAGTGTATTTTTTTTATTTTTGCTTTGTGTTTTTTGTAATTTTCGTATGTATTTCGTTGTAGAACCTTTGTATGAGAAAAAGGGATCCTTTGGAAATATTACCTCTTGATACGGAAATCGAGAGAAACCTTCGGAATCTAAGAAGAGTTGCAAGACCTCAAACTCCACTGATGGCCGATCCACAAGCTCAAGTTCCACATACGCCAAGAACAATGGGTTCTTACTCTAGGCCAAGTGTGGATAATGTTCAATCACCTATTGTTCATCCGATGACAATT